GTGTGCACTTTCTCATAAAGAGATCGCAGATGAGTGGTGTGCACTTTCTCATAAAGAAAGAGATCGCAGATGCCTAGTGTGCACTTTCTCATAAATAAAGAGATCGCAGATGACTAGTGTGCACTTACTCATAAAGAGATTGCAGATGACTAGTATGTATTTCTTGTAACGACCAGACGTTCTCACCGTACCGTAAGTGACTACCACCACCACACGAGAGCCCTGTGCTGTCGCACAATACTCACATTCTCATTCTCGGGCTCTCCGGCTTTCAGCTCTGGAGGGCGGCTCCTGGTCCCACTCTTTCTTGTAAACGGAGGTGGCTGGGGGCTCCCCGGGGGTGAAAAGGCTGTTCGCACCCCATACTAACTGTCACGCCGCGCTTTGAGCACACACACACAGTGGAGAGTGGGCCTGGCCTCATTCTGCAGCCCTGAGCCCTCAGTTCCAGATGAGCTCTCGGTAGCTTCTCAGTGCGCAGTGCAACAGGTTGTTCACACACTCAAATGATCACTGCTCTCTCGCCCTTAGCTGGTAACTCGTCTTCCTTGATGGCAACAATGCGCTTCCGTATTTAATCACCCCCCCCCCTCCTAGTTCCTGTAACTCTTTCAACTCTTCAACCTGCGGGGGGGCGTCAGATCCGCCGGCACCCCGGCACAGGCTTCGCTCGCTCACGGCATGCACCGCCGCGCGTTCCCGCGCCGCTTCCGTCCAGCAGGAATGCGCCTCCCCTGCGGCCACGCATCGTGCGCGTTCAGCGGGTCGGCTTCCGCGTCTCCTCGCTTTGCGCGCCGACCGGAGTTTTTTTATATATATCTACTCCCTTCCGTGCGCTTGTAGCTTTCCAGCAACGGCAAAACAGCGTGAAGGCAAAACGGCAAAAAAACACCACCAATTCACGGGGTGTAGAAGGATACCAGCATCTTGGGTTCTCCTCAAAACGGGATACTGTACTCCGGGACACGTGCGCGGGTGTTAGAAGTGAATTTCCGGGGTGCTGCGCTATATGTGGGGTTGCCCGGCTCCCCCTGCGACCCCCTACTGGATAAAAGCAGGAGGAAAACGAGTGACAATTCATCCGAGAGCCTCATCTTGTCTATCTGGGAGAACATGCAAACTCCACACAGACAGCAAACACCCCCCCCCCCCAGGCGCGGAACTGAACCCCACCCCGGCCAGGCCAGGCACCCCAGCAGCAGCAAGGCAGCAGGGACAGCTGCTCATGCCTCGGGCTCGGAATGTCGTACATTAAGATCCACCCGCCCCCCTCCCATACCGACATGAGCACTGCTGGGACAGCTGAAGTCCCCACCCGTGCATTTTTAAAGATGCGATCATGGCCGGGGAGGCGCTGGGTGGTGTGTTTCACTCACAGTGGCAGCTGCGCCGAGTGTGGGGGTGTCTGGATGTCTGGGGGGTTGCCGGTTCATAGCCCCAGGGCGTAGCACAGCTTGAGCACGGCACTATACTCAGGCACTGCCTGAACGGGCACCGACGTTTCGTAGTGAGGAAACATTAGAAAGAGAAGCATTTGTTACTCTACCTCAGTTCATCTACCCAGTGGCTGCTGTGTACAAAAACCACAAGAACGAGTAAAAGTTTATTTCACGCGGACGAGAAAAGAGACACAACGTTTTGGCTGTGGGGCTGTCTTCGGGTGATGACACCTAAATGTAACACGCTGCCGTCCTGACAGGCAGATTACAGCACTACAACCAAATTCCAGCACAGGACACGCTAAACAGACAATACACACTAGCTGAGCATTTGACCAGGAAAAGACAACCAGATCTGTGACTGGAGATCACACACTGTATTTCTGTTCAGTTTCTAAGTCTGTTTGGATCTGGATCACAGTCTGGACATAGAAACTGGACACAGGCAGACCCAGCTGTCCAGAGAGGACAGGCTCAGTGCCCACAGCCTGGACACAGAAACAGGACACAGGCAGACCTGGCTGTCCAGAGAGGACAGGCTCAGTTTCCACAGCCTGGATACAGACACTGGACACACGCAGACCCAGCTGCCCAGAGAGGACAGGTTCAGTTTCCACAGCCTGGACACAGGCATACCCAGCTGTCCAGAGAGGACAGGCTCAGTGACCATAGCCTGGACACAGACACTGGACACAGGCAGACCTGGCTGTCCAGAGAGGACAGGCTGTGCTCCCACTGCCAGCGGGGAAAAGCAGAGACAGAGATACACCTTCTGATGCACTGACAGAAATACTCTGGGATCGGACCAACATTCTTCCCCAAAATAACAAATCTAATCCCATAATTCCCATTCCTGCCAGAATCACAACAGCTGCCAATCTTACTGGGAGAAGAAACTCAACAGAGCTGCAGTCCAGTACCTGATCGGTTTGTGAACCTGTCTCACAATAATGTTTGACATAATATCTGCAAATATCCAATGTTATGTTTGTACTGTAATTGTTGTGTTAATTCTCCAGGCCTTGTCAACTGCCTTGCAGTCACACCGAAACAACAATTATTCAATGATTTGGAATTTATGCTCGCACTGTCGTGGATGCCC